TTCTTTCTTTCTTTCTTTCTTTTTTCTTTCTCTCTTTCTTCTTTCACTCACCCCCTCTGTGCTCAGGGCTCATTCCTGATTGCTCAGGGAGCACTCCTGGTGGTGCTCAGGGGACCATGTGAAGGTCAAAGGATGAACCTGGGTCAGTCTTCACTCTGCTATCTCAGGCCCTGAGGTGGAGGAGGAGCGTCCACTTTCAAAAGGGGGCTTGGCTGAGCAATGACAAGCATCTCTAAGATATGGGGACTGACAGCTGACCAAAGTCTCTGGGCAGTGGGACCTGTGTCTTGCTGTTCTGTGCTCCCAGTGCCTAGGGCTTCTGCATGCATGAACCATGAGCACAGGGGCTAAACTCTGCACAGGTCCTGCCCCATGGAGCTCAGTCCCTGCATGGCTCCTGCCTCGTGTTGGCTATTGGAACCAAACTGCCGTGAAATCTGGCATCGTGCTAGGGTGATCTGGAGCGGAGGCTGCCCAGCGGCAATCTGAGGTGGGCGAAGTGGCTGCTGAAGGTCCCCCCAGAGCCTGGAAGCACTGTTTTCTAGCCACTCTCAGTTTGGGGGGTGGCAATACTTAGCAGGCTCAGAGTTGACTCCTGGCTCTGCACTCAGGGATCACTCCGGGAGGGCTCCAGGAATCTTGTGTGGTTCTAGGGATTGAACCCATGTCAATGGTGTGCAAGGCAAGTGCATTTCTCCCTGAACCATCTCTGGCCCCAGGGGATGTTATCCTCATATTATAAGTGAGACGAAAGCACGCACTGGGCCCCCCTTCCACTGTGCCCTGTATGGCACTCAGAGGGAGAAAGGGAGACTCTTCTCAGGAGCACTGGAAGTGGCATGTGCCTCTAACAGCGGCCGCAAGGTCTTCCCATTTCCTTTATGGTCTGGGTGAGCAAGCCCATGTTCTCGAACCATCCATGCACATGCCCATGTTGTTGAACAATCCATGCACTTGCCACATCTCACCCATAACAAACAGCATCCTTTGGAGAAGGGAGAAATCCGTGGTACGAAAGACCACATCCCAGTCAGAGTGAGATGCAAAATAGCAGCTTTCAAAACTGTCAAAAAATTTCCCAAACTCACAACTCCACAAATCCACACGTGAGATCAAACACAGCAGAAAAGCAGAGAAGCAAATCGGTGAGGCTGGGGCTCTGGGGGTTCTCCTTCCTCTTTTCATGTTCCCCACGTCCACTGTAATCTAAAACACAATGCCAATCCCACCCTACCCTCAAGGAACCTGTCAAAGTCAGATTCTTCCCAGGATGCCCTCACACCTATCTCTGTCAGGCTTATTCAGCCCCGTTGGAGTTCCAGACCTGAGCACCCGTGATGGGGCTGGCACCCTGGTTGGCCAGAGGGAATCTCCCCCGCAATGCTGGGCAACACTGAGGGTGCTGGGCATGTGTGAGATGCTGCCTGGGATCAAGGTGGGGAAGCTACACGCAAGCTCCCTAAAGCTGCCAGGGTGCCTGACCCCCTCTCTAGCCAGATGCCAGGTCTGGGTGGGGGGGGTGGGCAGACAGACAGACACCATGGGAACACGGGCTCTGGAAATCCAGGTGGCCTCTGCTTCTCAGCTCCAGTCTTCCAGGAAACCAGCATGGACTCTATGCCTTTAGGACCTTCCCAGCTGCTACCCCAGACCCAGCTGAACAGATAGAGACCCTGAGTCTCCCTCCAATCCTGCCCTTCATTTCAGAGAAGGTAGGATCCTGGCACCAAAGGCAAAACCAGATGATCAGCCGCCAGTCCCTGCTCTGGGCCAGCCAGTGCATTTGTTCTGAAGATGGGGTCAGTGGGGGTGCTGGGGTGAGTAGGTGAGCTCTGTATGGAAGCGTGTTCCTGGGGGAGCTGGGCTTCGACCCCAACTCTGGGCACTGATTGCAGAGAGAGCCGGGCTCTGGGAGAGATGTGGACCCCCAGACAGAGCCTCCTCCTGTTGTAACTAACGCCACGCGGCGGTGCCCCACCTCAGCGGGTGCTCCTGGCAGTGATGGATGGGGAAAGGAAACGCTGTCCAAAGCCTGATCCCCATCGAGGAGAGCCCAGTCTCTGCCCTGAGCCTTCTCACCGTGGCTCCAGTTCTCTGGAGAGGACCACGTCTGGATGATGCTCAGAATCCCTGCACTCTCTGGGCTTCGGGAAGTCAAGGAGAGGTGCGCGGCCTCCTGCACACGTCCCTTTCAGAGGTGCAGAAGTGGGCTGAGTTGCCGCCTGGGTATAGTCCCTTTTGTTTGTTTGCTTTGCGTTGGGGAGGAGGCTGCTCCCAGCTAGGGGTTTGTGGGGGTGCTGGAGGGTCCTCCCCCGCAGCAGGAGCTGGGAATCAGGCCAGGACTTTCACATGCAAAGCAAGCGCCCTCGCCAGCCCCGACTTGCATTTCTAAAGTGGGGGAGCAAAGGCCACCTTGGAAATGGGAAGAGGCGAGTCCTGGGCTGAGGAAGGAAAACTCTCCCGAAGAAACTGCCCAAATCCTTGCGTATCTTTTCATTGGCTCCCTGCAATGTTTTGATGTTTAGGTTTGGTTGCCACGGGTGGGCTGCTGGTAGCTGTCTGGCTTTCTCCCCCCCCCCACCCCCTTTCTGCTGTTTTCGTTCCTTGCGTACACGCTGCAACAAGACTTTCCAATGCTTATCTCGCCCGGGAAAACCTGCCGGGCGATCTGAAGGGAGATCGCGGGGGCTCTGGCAGGAACCTTCAGTAATGCTCCAGCTTCTGCTTCTCAGCCCCCCAAGCCCCACCCAGACCCCACCCAGGTGGCAGCGGAGGCTCCCACCTGTCCTCGAGCCCCCTCCCCCACTCCCCCAGCACAAAGCCGGTTCATTGGGCATCAGCGCTTTCGCTAACCTCAGGGTGACCCAAGGTCCCAGGACCTTGGCCCAACCACACCCACCCTTCTGCCGCCCTCCTGGCTGCCTGCAAATTCCCCGGCAATTCTCAGCGCCCGGGGCGGGGACGTTTGTTTTCCTTGGTTAGGAGTTTCGTTCACCAGGGGTGGCTTTCCACCGATGCTTATCTCCCCGAGGGGTAGAGAGGGAGAGATGTGGACCCCCAGACAGAGCCGGGTAAAACAGAATCTCCGTTTTACCCGGAGATTCAAGCCCTGGAATGAGCAGGTGTCTGGGCGGAGGGTGTGCACCGTGGGTTGAAAGAAAACCCCTCCGCGGACTTTTCGATCTCTCGCTGGCGAATTCTCTTGCATTTTTTTTGCGGAGAGACTGGGGTTTATCGGTCCCTGCACTCAGGTTCGGGTGAGGGCTGGGCCACCGGGCTGGGTGGGATCCGAAGCAGAGCGCCTATGCGAGCCCGCGGAAGCCTTCTGCGGCATGTCAGAACGGGGGAGAAGCCCGGGGTCCCCACCTGTGCGTTTCCTAGGTTGGGGCGCGGCGGGCGGGACCCTCGGCAGGCCGACCTCGGGAGCGGGTGCGGCTCGTGTCCGCACACAAACCCCCCTCAGCTCCTGCGCCCGAGTTCACCTGGTCGCGGGGGTGAGGGGCTGGTCTGAGGGCGTGAGCGTGGGAGGAAAAGTGTGGGGCCGAGGAGCCGTGACCAGGTCGGAAAGTAAAATACAAACAAGCGCCCGGCTTCCTGCGCGCCCGGGCTGCGAGGCGCAGCGGCCCACGGGCGCTTCCGAGGAGCTGCGCCGGGCACGGGGTCGCTGCCCAGCTGGGGGCTTCCCTCCCGCGCCCGCCGAGGCGGCCTCATTCTGGAGAGGCCGGGGGCCAGGTTGCTCTGGACGAGGCCGGCACTGGGGGCCGGAATAACTCGAGGTGCGGGCGGGCAGCTCGGGAGATGCGCAGGAATGAGTCGTGTGTTTGAGTGGGGGAAGGGGGGACCGAGTCCGAGACGAAAGGAGGGAAAAGGGCCAAAAGAGACCCTCGACAGCCCCTGGGGGCAGGCGGAAGCAGGAGTCCCGCAGCGTCTGCACACCCGCGCGCTCCGGCCCCTCCCAGGCAGGACCCAAACGCCGCGTCTTCTCCTTGCGGAGTGGGGAAAATCCCTGGTTCGGCCTAAGTCCAGACTCCCGACGGGCCGCGGGATCGTATCAGGAATTCGTTTTCGAAAAGTTTCAATCCAGGCCGCCTGAGTCTGGGCTTGAGGGGCCCGACTATCCCCACCACCCCAAAGTCCGCCGTGGGACCGCGGTGCGGCTGCGGTCCGTGCGCCCCTGCCCGGAGCGGGGGTCCGACCCAGACGCACCGGCTCCGCGCGCGGAAACACACGGGGACCCGGAGGAAGGGTCTTCCCTGCAAACACCCGCGAGGGAGGCGAGTCCTGCCCCGCCCCGGGTTCGGGGACCTCAGCCCCCCGCCTCTCTCCCTGGTCCCGGCGGTCACCCGCCCGTCCCAGCGCTGGGGCGCGGGGCAGGCGCGTGGGACGCGGGGCGCGAGGGCGAGGGCTGCGGGTCGGCGTCGCGAGGGGCCCGGATTCTGCGACGCAGCGCCCCGGATTCTGCGGCGGATCCCCGCGGGCCCGCGGACGGGTAACGGTGCGCCACTCATGCCAGGGGCCCGGCCCGCCCGCGGACTTGAGAAGGCGGCTTGGGGGTGGGGTGGGTGTTTTCCTGAAGCGCCTCGAATGACCACGCACTTTAGAGAAAGGTCGTGCCCGTTTCAGCCTCACCTAGTCTGGGCTGCGGCCAGGACCCGCCCCTCCATCGCCGGCGCGGGGGGACGGATACCGGCGCGGTGCAGTCATGCGGATGGCTTGGGCACCATTGGCTCATGCCTGGGGCACGCGGCCCGGGAAGCACATCTGGCGGCCGGCCCGGGAGGCTCCAGGCCCGATATGGAGCGAGAGGGCGGGCGGGTGTGTGCCGGGGCGTGCGGAGCCGGCTCCGCCCCGACTTGCATCACCGCTGCCCCCGCCCCCCGCCCACTGGCCCGCCGTGTCGGGCTGGTTCTGGGGAGAAGCTATTAATAGCATGACGTCAGGCCCGGAGTAGAACGGGCGCGCCTCCAGAGCCCGGGCTATAAAAGGTGATGCAACGCGCCGCCGGCCACAGCCGCACGCAGTCCGGCGCTCGCCGCTGCCCAGCGCCCCGCGCCCCGCGCCGCCGTCCCGCCGCCCCGGCCCCAGCGCGCCCGCGCCCCGGACCCTGGCCGCCCCGCGAGGACCCAGCAGGTGAGCGCCGCCGCCGGCGCGGGGGGCTCGAGCCGGGCGGAGCTCCCGCGCCCCCGACGCCTGCGCCCAGCCCCGCCGGGCGCCCCCAGCCTCGGGCTCCGGAGCCGGGCTGGGCGCGTGTCCCGCCCCAGCCGCGCCTCCGCGCCGCGGAAAGTTTGTCCCCGAGAACTAACTTTCTCTTTTGACTCGCCGCGCGCTGGGTTCCCGGTGGCGGAGCGGCGCGCCTCCTCCGTCCCGCCGCCCGCCCCGCGCTCCCGTGGTCTCCGCGACCCCTCGGTCCCGCCGCCCGCCCCGCGCCCCCTCGGTCCCGGCCGCCCGCCCCGCGCCCCCTCGGTCCCGCCGCCCGCCCCGTGTCCCCTCGCTCCCCTCGGTCCCCGCGCTCCCTCGGCACCCGCCGCCCGCCCCGTTCCTCCTCGGTCCCCGCCGCCCGCCCCTCGCCCTCTCGGTCCCCGCCGCCCGCCCCTCGCCCTCTCGGTCCGCGCCGCCCGCCCCGCGCCCCCTCGGTCCCCGCCGCCCGCCCCGCGCCCCCTCGGTCCCCGCCGCCCGCCCCGTGTCCCCTCGCTCCCCTCGGTCCCCGCGCTCCCTCAGCACCCGCCGCCCGCTCCGTTCCTCCTCGGTCCCCGCCGCCCGCCCCTCGCCCTCTCGGTCCCCGCCGCCCGCCCCGCGCCCCCTCGGTCCCCGCCGCCCGCCCCGCGACCCCTCGGTCCCGCCGCCCGCCCCGTGTCCCCTCGTGCCCCCTCGGTCCCCGCGCCCCCTCGGTCCCCGCCGCCCGCCCCGCGACCCCTCGGTCCCGCCGCCCGCCCCGTGTCCCCTCGTGCCCCCTCGGTCCCCGCGTCCCCTCGGTCTCCGCCTCCCGCCCCGCGCCCCCTCGGTCCCCGCCTCCCGCCCCGTGCCTCCTCGAGCCCCCTCGGTCCCCGCCTCCCGCCCCGCGCCCCCTCGGTCCCCGCGCCCCCTCGGTCCCCGCCACCCGCCCCGTGTCCCCTCGCGCCCCCTCGGTCCCCGCCGCCCGCCCCGCGCCCTCTCGGTTCCACCGCCCGCCCCGCGCCCCCTCGGTCCCCGCCGCCCGCCCCGCGCCCTGGGTTGGGAGCGAAGCCCCTCGGGGACGGCCGGCGGAGCTGGGGGTCCGTAAGGGGGCGTGGGCCGGTCCCCGGGAATGAATGGCTCGGGAAGGTGGGGCGGCCCGGGGTGCGCTCGGCCGCGGTCCCTGGGCGGAAGGCGACAGCACTCCCGGGATTTCCTGTCCCCGGCCGGCCGGTCACACGCTGTCCCCTTGCTCCCGCCGCTCTTGGGCAGAGGCGGCTCCCCCGGGCTGATTCGGGCGCGGGGCGGGCGCGAGGCAAGTGCTCGGGGCCGCAGAGGCTCAGAGCCGCGACCCCGACCCGGCTGCAGTCTGCGGCCGCTGCGAAGGTCCGCTCCGGCGGGAAACTGAGACTCGAGAAGATGATGGAGAGAAAGGGGCGGGGCCGAGGGGCTCCGGCCTCCCGTCGCTGATAGCCTGGGAGGGTTCGGGCGCTCAGGGGGCTGCGCGGGACTGTTTCTCCTTCACTCTCCCGGGTGGGTCATTCTCTGTGCCCTCCCCCACTTCCTCCCTTCTCCCTAATGTCACTCCCGAGGTGCCCTTTGCTTCTTACGAAGGAGTCTCTGAACCCTCCGTGGGGCCGGACAGAATCTGGACCGGCTCTTGGGGCACCTGTTTCAGAGTGGGTGGAGCCACACCTGCGAGGCATCCAGACTTGATTTACTTGGAGGCCACATCTGGCGGTGCTGGGGGCTTACTGCTGGCTCTGGGTTCAGGGATCACTCCTTGGCCATGCTCAGGGGACCGTATGGGGTGCTAGGGATCAAACTGGAGTCAGCCAATTGCAGGGGGAGCGCCTGACCCCTGTGCTCTCTCCAGGTTCTGGCCTCTCCAGCTTTGAATGAAGGGGGAGTTGTTGCGGGTGCAACTCCAGACCCCCTGTCCTCAGGTCCCCAGCACTGTCTCCTGTCCCCTCAGCCTTCTCATGATTGTCCTGTACTGTCTGCCCACGCGGCTCTTCCTGGCAAGGCCACCTCTGACAGCTCCTCCCGGCCGCTGGCCTGTCAGCTGCCCTCACACACTGGGCAGCAGGAAGTGCCAGCAGTCTGGCCCAGTCTGACCCCCAAAACTCCCTGGGCCACCTGCTCCTTCACCACGGAATGAAGCGCTGACTTCATGGACCCCTTGTGTCCCCCCAGTGTGGATGGGGCCAGACTTGGCAGCTTCAGGAGCGGGAAGCACGTCCTCGGGACAGTGAGACCTGGCTGTTGCTCAGGGGCGTGAGGAGCCGGTGCCAGCAATATGGGGTGGGGTAGGGGCATCCAGGAAGGACTTGGGTGTTAGAGGCTGGATCCCTGGTGGGCATCGGTCAAAATGCAGAGCAGGGTTGCAGTGAGTCCTGGCTTCAGGGTGGCATTAGGAGCGTCCCAAAAGTGGCATGGTGAGATCAGGGCACATTACACCCCGTTGTCCAGCCTGCCTTCAGGATGGCCAGAACTTCCCCACCGCCCCTCAAGAGTGGGCAGCGCCCTGCGGGTCTGTCCAGCGGAGAAGAGAGGAGGCCCCTAGAGGGTGAGTCAGGCAAGTCTGAGCACCAGGCTTCCTCGGCTGTGCTTCTGTGATGAGAATCACAAGTGAAAATGCAGCGTGTGGGGAGCTGCCGGGAACTCAGATAGGGGAGAGGGGTCGGGGCAGGACAAGATGCCAGGAGGGTTTGGGTTTCTTAGAAGAGCTGAGAGTCCCAGGGAGGGGGGACGGGGCTCCACCTACTTGGCACCAGAAACCCACCTAGGTCCTGCCCTTCTGGGAGGGAGGAGTTAAAGTTCAACCTCCTCCTGAGTGCCAGTGTCTGGGATCTAATCTCCTTCCCCGTGGGGACCAGCCTGCGCCAGACCCTGTGAAAGTCCCGAGCAGCTGAGTCTTCTGCTCTGCTCCTCCATCCCCTCTTCCTTCCCAGTCCCCGTCTTCTCCTCCTCCTCTTGCTTTAGGCCCACGGCCGGGCGCAGTGCTGGGAGGCTCCTCCCCATGCTGGGGGCGTGTGCCATGCAGGGCAAGGGATCCCTCCCCCACACAACCCGGGCAGAACTTCCTGGAGGGGAGGCATGTGTGCAAGGGCTCAGGCTTACTCCTGTCAGCGCCCAGGGACCAGGAGGCTGGTTCCAAGGCCCCATCAGTGCTGGGGGTGGAGCTGGTCAGCACAGGCAAGCACAAGCTGGTCAGCTGGGCCTCCCACCTGTCACCTCTCTGGCCCCGGGGGCAGCACTGCTCTTACTTCCCCTTCAACACCCTTTTCACCAGACTGGCTGCCTGGGCGTGGCTGCCAAAAACACCCTGTACGGTTCTGAATCAGATGTCATGTTTTTACTTGACTGCATTGTTGTATGAGTTACCCACGAGCCCCTCAGCCCCACAGCAGGAGCTGAGGCTAGTGACAGCAGAAGGGGCCTGAGTGTCAGTGGCCGTGACCTGTCCCTTTGATGTTTACTACCTGTTTCTTTCCCAAGCCTGCCCGTCCCTGCTTCACACAGAACATTCCAGACCAGCAACACGCTCCAGTTTTTATGGGGGCTGCTGGTTTGACACTAAGTCAGCGGGGTGGGGGTGGGGGATTCCCAGACAGCAGCCCCCCACTCTGAGTGAGTTGGGGGAGGGTTTTCAGCCCAAGTGCACCCAGCCCTGGGACCATGGGATATGGGGTCACATCCACAAACGAGGGCGAGACCAGAGCAGCTCCAGCCTCCCCCTCACACAGGGATGCGGGGACTCGGCATCTACCTCACGCCTGCTTTCACTTGCGGTCAGCACCTGTCCGTCTCCTGCCGGCAGCTTCTCAGGCTCCCCTGCCCAGCATTAGCTCTGACTCAGCCTGGCCTGGACCTGGGTGGCCAGCAGTGGGCAACCAGAGGTTTCCATCTCACTCGAGGGGGACTTGGGTCCTGACGCCTTCCTGGTCTCCAACCCCCGCCCCCGCCCGAATGGCTCAGAGCTGGCCCTGGCCGGAGGCCTGTGTGAGGTCCGCGGTGTCGCAGGCCCGCACCCATGGGGAGTGTTGCTGGCCACCATGCAGGGTGGACACGTTGGGGGAGCGCAGTGGCAGTGCGTGCGTCTCTGCAGGGATCCCTCTCAGGGCCAGGAGATCCCTGCAGTGCCCAGCCTGGGCTCAGTCCTGAGTACCAGACCTGCCCCTGGTGGGCCCTGGGCAGCGCAGGGCCCAGGCAGTGCCACCTCTGGGGCCCTTGCCTAGACCCACTGGTCCAGCTGGCCGAGAATCAGGCTCTGGCACGAGGAAGCAATGAGGCAGTGCGAACGCGCACAGCGCTCTCCGCTCCTCAGGGACCAGCCTTCTGACACCCCAGGGCTGAGGACCCCTCGGAGGGGGCAGCTGCCGCCCCCACTCTCTTTGTTGGGGGTCCCACACCGTCCACTAGCACCTCAGACATTCCAGTGACGCAGAGATCCCAGGATTCGGAGAGACACGGGAGGTGGGGTTACTTCACGGTGTCCAAGGGGTATCCAAGTCACTAATGCCCGGGAGGAGTGCTGGAGTGCCTTCAGGGTCTGGGGGATGAGTTGGGGGCGGGGGGCTGAGAACATCCGCTGGGCTGTGGTGTTGGTGGCGGCTCTGTCGTGCCTGTCTCTGAAGAGGGAGGGGTCCCCTGGTATCTTTCAGCAAAATGATGCTCCAGAACCCAGGCCTGGTGGCTGCGTCAGAAGTCAGTGCCACGGCCGTTGTGCCCTGCCTGTCCCCACCGGCGTCGCTGGTCTTTGAACGCTTCGAACAGTTTGCCGCCATGACCCCGTGCGTCAGGGATGAGCTGCGGTTTGCCATCCAGAACAAGCACATGTACCACCGCAGGTCTTCCGCCTTCAACTCCATCACAGCCGGCAGCGCCGGGCCCTTCGACATGTCTCTCAGCAAAGCCGAGGAGGTGGGTGCTGTGCCATGCCGGGCCCTGAGCTGGCCGAGAGCCAGGCAAGTCCAAGCATGTGCCAGCTGTGTCAGGTGCAGGCCACAAGTGTCTCAGTCACGTGCAGGTGTGGGCCACGCACGTGCCAGCTGTGGGCCAGGTGTGACCGCTGGTGGCCTGGGTAGGAGCAGGCATGGACGAGGTTCGGGTTGTCTTTTTGCCAGGCACGGCAGTACCACCCTGCCACCTGTTAGCTTTTCTTCCACCAGGTAGAGGCAACACCCCCAGTGGTAAAGACTCTGAGTGCTGGCTAGGGGTCAGGGCACGGGATGGGCCCTGGTGGGCACAGCGGTGGCAGTGGCCTCCCAGGTGGAATGTGTTTACTTTCCTAGAGTGGCAGCAGCCCGTCCCTGGCAGGGCTTGTGGTTCGACTTGCTTTCTGTGTTGCTTTTTTGTTTTCACTGTTGTGGAGGCCGTGCTCAGCCCTGGCTCAGAGCTGGCAGAGGAGGTGGAGGGTGGTTGCTTGCCTGCCTTAAAGCTGATTCAATCGTCTGATCACCCATTGGACCTTGGGGGCAGGGAGAGAGGGCTCAAGGCGGACCCCCCAGCGGGGGCCTGAGTTGCTCAGAGATGGAGCACGGGCAGGGGCTGGAGGCTGTGACGCAGAGAAGGCGGCCCAGGGGGGTGCCCGCTTTTCCTCACCAAGAACCATTGCCAGCGGGCACAGACAGAACCAGCCACTGTGTCCAGATGTGCGGTATCATCTGCTGCGGCCATCTGCTCCGGGCACCTTTGACAAGACCCGGCATCAGCTGAAGGCAGAGCAGACATGCGGAAGCCAGTCTGTGAGACCCCAGGGTCGCTCCTGCCCTCTGGAGCTGCGGGGTGACCAGGCCCTGCGTGGCTTCACCGCAGCACGTGGGGAGACCCGAGGGTCGAGCTCAGGCCTCCTGCGTGCCAGGCCAGTGCCGCTCTCCTCAGAGCCGCTGCCCATCCTGTGTGCGTCCCCAGAGCAACCCCTGGGGGAGCCAGGTCCTGCCAGCACCGCCTCACCCCGTTCCTGGTGGAACTCACCCTTCCTCAGTTTACCCATGTTTGTTGGCGGCCAGGCAGTGTGTTTGAAGAGGGTCACTTATCTCCCACTAAGCATCTGTCCTTGGGTTTCACAGGTGGTTCCGGAAGAGGACGAGAGGAAGAAGAGGCGGAGGGAGAGGAACAAGATTGCAGCTGCCAAATGCCGGAACAAGAAGAAGGAAAAGACAGAGTGTCTGCAGAAGGTGGGCGTACCCCACCTGCCCCTGCCCCTGCCCCCCACGTGCCCTGTCCCCCCCTGCCCTGACCCCCCATTTATCCTTGTCTAGCCCCTGCCCTGTCTGTCCCCGTCTGTTTCTGTCTCCACCTACCCTTGACTGTCTGCCCCAGCTGTCCCCACCTGTCCCCCGCCTGTCCCCTCCAGCCTCCACTGCCCTCAGAAGGGCCTTTCCTGATCTGGCCACAGAGGTGCGCAGGGGGGCGTGTAGGGGCCCCGCGGGAGATGCAGGCCCGTGAACTGGGGCCACAGCTGCTTCGGGGGCCCAGACTTCAGGGCCTGGCTGGCCCCAGGTCCAGAGCTGCAGGCCAAGCCTCCGAGTAATGGGACGGGGGCACCCGGCAGACCTGCCGGACCAGGCCCTGGCCCCGACTCGGTGCTCACCGGCCCGGTGCCCCTCCCAGGAGTCGGAGAAGCTGGAGAGCGTGAATGCGTTGCTGAAGGCGCAGATCGAGGAGCTGAAGCACGAGAAGCAGCACCTGATGTACATGCTCAACCTGCACAGGCCCACCTGCATCGTGCACGCGCAGCAGGGCCGGACGCCCGAGGACGAGCACAGCCTCTTCCTGCCGCACCTCACGGAAGAGGCCATGCAGAGCTGAGCTGGGCGGAGGCCTTGGACCGCAGCTACGAGATCCTGCCCTGAGTCCGGCTCAGAGCGCAGCAGCCAGGGACCACGGGGACGGGGCCACGAGGGGCCTCCCGCTCGGGTCCCCTCTGGCCCGACTCCAGGCTGCTCTTGAACGCTCAGGATGGTCCCCGGCTGGCCCTGCCCGCCTTCTAGCAGATTCTACAAGACCAGGGCTCCTGCCTTCGGAGTCCTGCACCAGTGCCCAAACCTCGTGGAGGCGCCCAGGGAAAGAGGACGGTGTTTGGCAGAGCCGAGGGCTGGCTGGCGAGCTTCTGTCCCGTGCCCACATGGCCCTGTGCATGCTCTCGGCTCTGCTCCTGGCCATAGACTGACCCGGATGAGTGAGAAGATCTTTCTGCCGGCAGGTGGCCCTCTGGAGCATTCCTGGGCAAGACCTGGGCTCATCACTGGCGCCGCTGTGATGTCCAGGCCCACCGCAGCAAGGTTGCCCGGAAGGCCCTGAGTTAGCTGATGTGAACGTCCCCCTGGAAGGCCTTGGCAGCCAGCTGACCCCAGAACTTCAGTGTGGCCACTGCGTCGCTTCTGTTGGTCACTCTGTCCAAGGCCACGCATGGTCACAGGTTGAGGTCCTTGGAATCTTTTGTCCTACCCAGTAGTGTCGTCATGGTTTCCTGTGAGAAGGAATGTCACTTATTTATCTTAGATTCCTGCCTTGTCGCGATAATAAATGTCAGAGCGGAGGTGCCAAGGGCTCTGCGCGTGGCTCTCCCTCTTCTTTCCACCGGCTTAGTGCTCCGGGCCCAGCCACGACCCCATCCTGACCCAGGGTGGGGGCCGTCGGTCCTGGGCGTGGACGGCTTGAGCACCGTGTGGCCAGTGTCTGCAGGGTGGCCCCGGGAACTCGCTGGGGTTCAGGCCTCCCTCTGCCCCATGGCCCTGGGGTTGTCGCAGACCCTGCGCACGGCCTAGAGTTCTGCTTCAGGCTGTGGTGGGTGTGGAGGCTGCTGCCCCTCAGGCCTGACTGGCCCAGAGTGGCCGTGTCCTGTGGATTGAAAATCGTCATCAAGAGGGGGAAGGGAAGGAGAGTGCCAGGTGGGTTTCATCGTTGTTTGGGAGCTGCACACTGTGAGGCTCTGGGGCTACTCCCTGCTCAGTGCTCAGGGATTATTCCTGACAGAGCTCAGGGACCAAGCTCCTGTATGAAGAGTGTGTACTCAGCCCTGAGCAGAACATCTGGGTGGACAGGTGTGGGGATCAGAGGGGGGCGTCCACACCGTGGGGGCATCAGGCTTGCCTGCATGTGCTGTAGACGCCACGTTCCGGGCCCAGCAGGCGTATACCAGGGTGCGCCCTGGAGTTCCTTCCAAGCCTCCGTGCACGGGGCTCTCCAGTGAGGCCCTGCCCCCTCCTGTGACAGGGAGCTCAGCACCGCTCGGTGCTCTCCCTCTTGCCCACAGCCCAGTGGGCTGAGGGTCACGGGCCCCCTGCTTCCCAGGTCCAGCTGTTGGGGCAGCCCCAGGCCCTTGGGTCGTGGCTAGCACTCACCTCCTCAGCTGGGAGGGAGGCAGCCCGGTGGCGACCAGCAACAGGCCGCACTGCACACAGTGGTGGAGGGTCTGACTGGAGAAGCAGGCAGAGCCCAGAGCACTGGCCTCACTGCAGTCGACCAGGTTCCCTTGCTGGCACTGCACAGGGCCCGCGGGGATAGCCCCAAATCCAAAAGCCGTGAACGTGCGTGAGCACATGGCAGAGAGCTGAACGAGTGTCTGACGTCTCATGTCTGTGCTGGTCTGCGTTGCGATGCTTTCGTCAGAGAAACGACCATTTACCCGCAGCTGGCTAGCTAATCCCTGCCTTGGTTTAAAACCTGCTTTGAAGTTTGGACTCCATGCACGGGGGTGTATTTGTGTGTTAAAAGACCATGTGTGGCATTTAAGTGGCACTTCAGAGCAGTGAGTGCTCTCACCGCCACTGTCTGAAGTTCCAGCTTGCGTGTCCCCCCGGGGACCACTGGCCACCAGCACTCACCCCCCCTTCCTTCAGACACAGTTCAGCTGCCACTCAGCAACCTGCCTTCTAGCTCCACTCATTTCCCGTGGCTCCTCGTGGCTTCCGTAGCTTGTCCGTGTTCGCCTCAGGGAGACCCCACCCTGGACCCCTCTTCTGTGGATGGCAGCGATGTCCTCAGTGAACAAATCTCAAGCAGGCTCCGAGCTGGCCGCTAAGAGTGAAGGCGCTGGGCTCTTTCTCTGAGCTCTGCGGGGGGCTCGGGACCCATGGCGGGCTCTGAGCCCAGTCCCACCCTGCGGCTTCCATGGACCCCAAATACCTTGTCTCAGGAGGGGCCACTTCAGAGCCACTTCTCTGTCTCCATTGTGCTGGGAGAGGAGGGGGAACTGAACCCACTGACAGCCTGAGTGATCGCATAGGAGAGTGGGGAGGGAGCCCTGAGAAGGTCATCCTGCCAGCCCCTGGGCGGCCCTGTCCCTAAGAGCCCACGCAGCTCTGCCCCCTTCTAATGTGGCCCCCAGCCCCGGGTGTCCCGAGCTTGGTCGAGCTTGATGCAGGCCCATAGTTGCCAGAGGGTCCCAGCAAGGGCCACAGGGTCCACTGGACCGCCCCTGCCACCACTGTCCTGCGAATGCCACCTATGGCCAGGAGGACCCCCACCCCCACCTGCCCCTGGAGACACGGCCACGAGTCCCAGCAGGCTTTTCAGTTTGAAGGAGGACCTTGCCTGTTGGGACCTCTGGGCTGGCGTTGGGGGTGTGGTGGCCGTCTCACCTCGTGGCTCTGCGGCACTGTGCAGGGGGTCTCCACCCGAGTCTCTGGCAGGCCAGCCCTCCCCAGGGTGGGGGCGCTGGGGTGAGACAAAGGGGGCTGTGGCAGGACAGGTCACAAAGGCCCCAGGGAATAAATAGAGGTGTGCAGGGAGCGGCCGAGAGAGCAAGCTCGCTTCTCCTGCGAGATTGCTGCTGACAGCCGGTCTGGGGGACAGCGGCCAGGGCAGAGGTGGGGAGGTACCTAATCCCCCTCATCTCTCCGCTTTCGGAAAGATCAGTCTGGGGCCACCACTCCCCCTGCCGGCCCCCTCCGTGCCGCCCCCACCGCCGGGAGGCGGCGCTGCCCGCAGGGGTCACTCTCCTCGGGGCGGGGTGCAGGTGCAGCGTCCCTGGGGCCACGCGGGAGCCCTGGCCGCCTGCAGGCGAGCATGAGCCTGTTACCGTACTACACGGCCCAGAGCGCGGCCGTCGGCGGCTTGTTCTGCACCGCCATGGGCAAGTTGCAGCGGCAGCTTCACCAGGGCGAGTACGACCTCTTCAAGTACGCCCCCATCTTCGAGAGCGACTTCATCCAGATCACCAAGCGGGGGGAGGTCATTGACGTGCACAACCGGGTGCGCATGGTCACCGTGGCCATCGCCTGCACCAGCCCCCTCCTCCCACTGCCCGACGTCATGCTGCTGGCCCGCCCTGCCACCGGGGGCGAGGAAGACCGCAGCGGCCAGCACAAGGGCAAGGCCCGGCGCGCCGTCAAGGCCCTGGAGCTGACGCGGCTCCTACCGCTCCGGTTCGTGCGCATCTCCGTCCACGATGGTGAGAGGCAGCAGCTGCGGCTCAAGTTCGCCACCGGCCGCTCCTGCTACCTGCAGCTGAGCCCCCCGCTGCAGGCGCCAAACGACCTTTTCACCTACTGGGAGAAGCTCGTCCACCTGCTACGGCCACCCATGGACTGTACCAGCAGCACTTACGCCATCCCGGCCAGGGACCAGGACAGCGTCCCCCTGCTGGAAGGGGACGGATGCCAGAGCCCGGGGCTGGCTGCCCGCCGGGCCTGCCGGGCCCAGGACCAGGTGAGCATCCGGAGCCTCCAGTGCGTCTCTGGTGTGGCAGGCGCCATCTCCACAGGCTTTTTCGGTGGGGAGGGGACCCAGCAAGACCCCGAGCAAGCCATGAGGGGGCCCCAGGGAACTACTCCTGGCCCGATGCCCGTGGAGCTGGACCAAGAGTCCGGGGAGGGCTCCCTGTCAGAGGACACAACAGCCATGGCCTTGGACGACCTGGACCGGCTCAGCATGACCACCCCCTGCGGCACCATCAAAGGCCGAGGGGGACACAAAACCACCTTCACAGGGACAGGAGATGTGTCCCTCAAGAGCTTGGGGCTGGCCACGGCAGGGCCAGAACCTGGCGACCGGGCTGCAGAGGACAGACCAGATGACACAGAAGAGTCTGGCGAAGATTCCCTGTTCTCACCCCTGCCCCAGGGAGAGGGAGCGGAGGATGCAGGTCAGGCGGCCCTTGGCAGCAGGAATGGGCGGCGGGAGCGGGGGGACAAGGACAGGGGCCCACAGGGCAGCAGGCACCAGCGCCGGGTGTCTGAGAAGCGTCGCAAGGCGGGCAAGGACCCGGCCTCCTGGAAGCTGGAGGGCAGCCACTCACTGACCGGCCGCTGGGGCTCCCGAAAGGACAAGAAGGAGCGAGGCCGCGGCAACCCCGGAAGCAACAAGTGGGGAGTCGTGCACAAAGGCATCAGCCACGCGCCCATCGCCAAGGAGGCCAGGGTGGCTCACAAGTCCAGCCGGAGCCTGGCCACCAGCACCGCGGGGGCCACCAGCAGGCAGCTGGGCCGCATCGGCACCTTCCTGCGGAGCCTCACTGCCCCGCGCTCCCGGACTGGGGAGCTGCTGGCCACGCCCGCGGCAGAGGCGGGGGGCATGGAGGCGATCCTCGAGGCCCCGGAGGACGTGCCAGAGGAGACCGAGCTGGCCGCCGGCGTGGCCCCCAGCGTCACAGAGACAGTGGCCTTGGAAGCTCAGGCGTAGTGCCCAGTGCGGGGAACTGCAGAAGGGCCCTGAGTTCCTGTGTCTCCCCAGACAGCCCCAGTCACCTCCAGCCGCCCTCCCTGCAGTTGAAATAAAGATCCAGATCCGTGCAGTGGCATGCCTCATGCTCTGGGCAGCCTCAGGTCAGCCCGCGGTCACCTCACAGTGGCCTCTGTGATGTCACCTCTGTGGATCTCAGCCGAGACCCCAGGACGGTCCAGCAGCTTCTCCTGACCGTGAAATTCAGAGCCAGATCTGTGCTGGGGACCAAGCGGGGCAAGTCCCCTGCCTCCCTGCACCTCTTCCATGCTTCGCTGTGCTCAGGGAACCCTCTTGGGTTGGTCGGGGGACCCTCGGGGAGGCCAGGAATGGAACTGGGATTGGTGACATGCCAGGTGAGCGCCCTAACCCTGGTGTTCTCTCCTAGACCCCTGCTTAGACCCCCAGCACGGGTGAGGGGTATAGCAGCTCTAGGCAGCCTTCAGAGTTTTCAGAGGCTAGGGCTTGGGTGCACGACCCCAAAGAAGCCTGCAGGTCCTCAGAGATGGTGCTGGCCGAAGGCTTCCTCGCAGCGCCCTGGAAAGCGCCCAGATCTCCATCATGAGTGGTACATGGGGCTGGGAACACGGCCGACTGGAAACACTCAAGCAGCCGTGAGAAAAGCCAGTCAGGTCCGTGTTCGATGAAACAGGAGAAAAATATCCGCGGGGGCAGGATTCTCTGGGAAGCCAGTGGCTAGAGAGTCCGGGGTCGGGGGAGAGGGGGCAGCGCCCACATTCCCACCTCTGAGCTGTTAGCATGCTCACTGGGTCACTCTGAAGCGACTCCTCCAAGAGGCCTCACTCTTTGTTATGGGGCCCCACCAGGTGGTGCTCGGGGCTTACCCTGGCTCTGCACTGAGGGGTCATTCTTGGCGGTGCTGGGG